GATTGCCTTTCCCTCCGCTAGAAATAAAACACTGAACCTCTAAATCACGCATTGACTTCCCCTACACGTAGACAAGTATCGTACCATTACTTTAATACTGTGCGATAACAACTCATGAACATCATAGCAATTGGTGCATAGCCCCAAAACCATCAGAAATACAGCTACTGAGCTGAGATGACAGAACATCCTTCCACAAGGTGACAACATAGCCCAATCAAATACGCAAGGAGAAACATCCCGCACCACATCCGCAGTACCATTAAAATTTCTTGATTTCCAAATTTATAACCAGTGCTTCACATCGCATAAGATTGAATGGGAAAGAAATGAAGGCATAAGCCTCAAAGGAATCAAATCGCACGATGAGGAATCAAGAAGGGAAGTGATCCTAATAGCCCTGTAGCCTCTCAAAGATAAATACAGACATCTCTGTACCGATCCGCAAGACTCTACTAGACTCGCTCATGGATCGTGAGACCTAAGTGAACCTAGTGCTTTGATACTATATTGTCACGACCTAAAATCTATTAAAGGTCGTGATGGCGCCGGACACCACTCTCAGGCAAGCCAACACCAAATAGTTAATTTAATTCTCATTTTAATATTTTTGAAATCATAAATGTCCTTCAATTTAACTACTAAAAGATGAACTTTACAGAAAAATAACAATATTTTCTAATTTCAATACTGAATATCCCATAATCCTTCCAGGACTCGGTGTCACAAGTGCAGGAGCGTTTACTAAAGAATAAAATAAAATACAATAACTATCCGGAATACAAATTTGGACAAAAAGGAAAATACCAATACTCTGAAGGAGACTCTGCTGGCTGCGGATCGCACATAAGATACAGATCGCCTCAAATTCTCGTATCAACCACGCCGCTGCGTTGACAAGACCATGAAATATATANAGTGGCCCGAATATAAAAATGTGAGATTCTAATTAAGCATGATTTATAGAGATAACATAAAAACTCGGAACAAGAAATAACTGGACAATTCCTTCATCATATTAAAGAACCCCAAGCACTTCCTTCATTTAAAACATTTGATTTCTCAAACAATGTACTTATACAAATTATAAAAGGGTTTCCAGTTCTATTATCACACATAAATTCCACCGAGGACGTTCGGCCCGAACCAACATGAATGTAAATTGTGCAATGCCGAGGGTCGAACGGCATGAACCATAGATGCATCTATAAATTTCCCCGCTCGCATATCATAAATGCGACGCGGTCCCCGCTCACGAATCATACATGCGACGCAGTCAAATATAAATTTAAGGAAATACCCCGCTCGCGAATCATACCTGCGACGCGGTCAAATATAAGTTTAACATTTAAATCATATCTCTTTCTTGATTCTTTTTAAAATAAAGACAATTCAACTTGAAGCTTTTACCCCGCTCACGGGTCATACATGCGACGCGGTCAAATATAAATTTATTAAGTTATTATAATATCCCTAAATTTCTTTTCGAAAATATGAAGTCCAAATGAAAAATATTTGAAAACTTAATTTCCTCAATTTAAATTCTTCTCAAGACAATTAATACCAGAGGCGGATCCAGGATTTAAATCCTATGGGTTCAATTTTAAGATTTTTAGCATTGAACCCATTATAATTTTAAAGTTATGGGTTCATATCTATAATTTTTACAATTTTTATGAATTTTTACATACAAATTTTTACTCCGCGTCGAAAGTTATGGGTTCAGTTGAACCCATACATACTATACTACATCCACCTCTGATTAATACGCAAACCTCAATCTTGCTTCTTTTCAAGGCAAACAGTAACCACAAATCAAATAATAATATCAACAAGGCAGGATGTAAACCTAAAACTACCCGGACATAGGCATAGCTAGTAGCTACGCACGGACTCTCGTCACCTAGTGCGTGCGTATCCCCCACAAATAGAGGGACATATTTAATCAATTCACCTATGGGGTTAATTCCCTCTTACAAAGTTATAAAGGAGACTTACCTTACTCCGAAGTTTTATAACCGGCTCCCAAGCCATTCAATCAACTCAAGTCGATGCCCAACGCTCCAAAACTAGTCAATAAATGAGTAAATCCATAAATATATACTCTAATACTGATTATAATCCAATTTATAACAATTTCTAACTCCGCTCAAAAAGTCGACAACCCTCAGGCACACTTGCTCGGATTCCGAATTTTTTCGAAGATAACCATTACCCATAACCTCACGAACTCAAATATATGATTTATTTCCAATTCCATGCCCAGATTCGTGGTCAAAATCCAAAAATACCAATTTCTAGGTTTTTCTTTAAAATCCCAAATTTCTAGCAATTTTCATGTCTAAATCTGTATATAATCCAAGTATTTAACTTGCAATAGGTGGGAATCACTTACCTTGACATAGGTGACGAAAATCTCCCCTTGAAGCTCTCCAAAATCGTCCAAATCAAATGAAAACAATGGGAGAAAAATGGGCCAAGACCCATTTTTAAAGAGCACACTGCCCAGCCCTGTCTTTCGCACCTGCGGTCAGGTAGCCGCACCTGCGATCCGCTTCTGCGCCTGCTTCCGCTTCTGCGAGGCACTTTCCGCTTCTGCGCTTGCGTGGATGCGGCCAAAAGCTCCGCACCTGCGATCCTTCACCTGGACAGCCTGCTCCGCTTTTGCGACTCTAATGTCGCTTCTGCGCCCTCCACACCTGCGATCAAAACTTCGCAGGTGCGGGTACACCAGATATCAGCTGCCTCAACTCTTCTTCAAATTCCAAATTCGATCCGTTAGCCATCCGAAATCCACCCGAAGCCCTCGGGACCTCAATCAATTATACCAACACGTCCCAAAACACATTACGAACTTAGTCGAGCCTTTAAATCACATCCAACAATATCGAAACTACGAATCACCCTCTAATTCAAACTCAATGAACTTTAGAACTTCAAACTTTTACATTCGATGCCGAAACCCATCAAATCACGTCCGATTGACCTTAATTTTTGCACACAAGTCACATTCGACATTACGGACCTACTCCAACTTCCGGAATCGGAATCCGATCCCGATATAAAAATTTTCACTCCCTGTCAAACTCTCCAAAAACCTTCAAATTTCTAACTTTTACCAAATGACCCCGAAATGACCTACGGACCTCCAAATCCACTTTCGGACGCGCTCCTAGTACCGAAATTACCATACTAAGCTACTCCCAGACTCAGAATCCCAAACGTACATTGATAACATTGAAATGCACTTCAACTCAAATTAATGAAATTCTTTCAAAATGCCAACTTCCATAATAGGCGCCGAAACGCTCCCGGGTCAGCCAAAACTCGATCTGAACATATGCCCAAGTCTAAAATCATCATACGAATCTGTTGGAACCTTTAAATCCCGATTTCGAGGTCATTTACTCAAAAATCATACCTTAGTCACTCTTTCCAACTTAAAGCTTCCAAAATGAGAATTTTCTTTCCAAATCAAACTCCGCACTTCCCGAAATTAAATTCTGACTACGCGTACAAGTCATAACACCTAAAGTGAAGCTTCTCAGGGTCTCAAACTACCGAACGACGTGCTAGAACTCAAAACGACCGGTCGAGTCGTTACAATACATTATTATTTAGTACAATACGATTATTTATACTATAAATCTTTCATTACTAAACCATTACTCAAGCGACCGCATCAAATATAAAAAGCTTGGACCACCAAATGTGGTACCACGGAATATGATCCAATGGCTTGGCTCCCTCTATCTTAACAAAATATTTCGAATTTAAGAAAAGATTCTTAATAGAATGCGCTTCCTTATAAATAAGCTTATTCGGTATGAATAAGATTAGTAAAAATTGCACGAGGCACCCTATTTAGTCACCCCCATTTAACCTATACCCACTTTTTAAAAATATTTTAACTTGTACCCACTTTTTAAACAATTTCAGGCCTCTTTCTCCTCCTCCTTCTCCTTCGTTTTTTGAATGCTGAACCTTGAGATATTGTTATGCGTTCTAGCCTGATGATTCATATATATCAGCTTGTCCCATTATGTTCAGTTTGGTCTTATTCGCAATAATTTAAACTCTTAGATATTTTAGCTTTACAGGCACATTGATTTTTAGTTCTAATTTATCTGTAGTAACTTATTTTCATGTCGAAAATATTTTTCATTCTTTAATCTTTGAAATGAACAGCATCAATCGCTGCTAATCATGATCTATTAAATTCATTATTGTTTAGTACTATTTCGTTTTTGTATAATATGTTCTTTTGTTGAATTCTTTTTTTGAAATATTATCTTCCTCATTTCCGTGTGCATACTTAGAATTCCAGCTCTAAGAATACTGAAATTCAGCAAATATAAACAAAAACTCCAGCTCTTAGAATGCTGAAATTCAGCAAATACAAAATAAACTTCAGCTCTAGAATGCTGAAGTTCAGCAATTACAAAACAAAGTTCAACTCCTATAATACTGAAGTTCAGCAATTACAAAACAAACTTCAGCTCCTAGAATGCTGAAGTTCAGCAATTACAAAATAAAAACTTCAGCCAAAACATGTTGTAGTTTTATGAGCTGAAGTTTGCCATTGCACTATGAACTGAAGTTTGCGTGATTGCCTTTGCAAGTCAGGCCAAACTTCAGGCAAAAATATCTAAAGTTTTGTTACACTTAAGGCAAAACATTCTGAAATTCAAACTTCAGACATAAATTTTTGCTACTTCAGGCCCGTATGTCTGAAGTTACCCGAAAAGTGAGTACGGTTGCAATTTTTTTTTGCAAAGCGGGTATAAGTTAAATGTTGACCCAAAAACTGGGTATAGATGCAAATGCCCCATAATATTAGTTGAGCAAGTGAATTTTGACAAATGGTTAAAACAAAATAAAATAAAAACATGGGCCAAATCAGATAGTTGGGTGGTAAAGATATGGGCCGACCCAGCCCATTTTGATTTCTGGAACCCGCAAAATAATCTCAACTGTGAAGACGCTTTGATATGCCTATTCATAATCAAAGATCAACAAAACACCGACTTAGATTCAGTGATAATAAACAACAAATTCGAAACAAAAAAATGATTTGTTCCTCTAGCTTAGTCATGTCCAGTAGCCCATCTCCTCCGGCGAGTTCTGAAGCTTCCGATGAACTGACTCAGCCACAGGTTCGAAAATTTAAAACTAGTCCTCAGCTAAACCGGTGGTCCAGAGCTCGAAGCATCCGGTCCGGAAGGAAATTAGACCGGTCTGTTGAATTACGCACCAAGTCCGGTTCGCCGGTTCAGGGCGAAGAGGAATTTGAGTTGCCTACGTCTCCTAAACGTGGGAGTGGGTCCGGTTCGGAGAGTGAATCGGAGGGTAACGGAGGGGGGAAGTCGATATTTATGGTGTCTGATGGAACTGGATGGACGGCGGAACACGCCGTTAACGCGGCGTTAGGACAGTTTGATTATTGCTTAGTTGATCGGGTTTGTCCTGTGAATACTCACTTGTTCTCTGGGGTAAGTTTGCCCTTTTGTCCGTTGTAAGTGCTTGTTATTCTTGTATTGAGCTTAAGTTTTATGCACCGATGATATGTAAAAAGATATTTACGAAAAAAGTAATGGTAGTTAACTGTATTTAATACTCCCTCTGTTGTATTTGACTCAGACAGGAAGTTTAAGTAACAAATGAATACTTTTGAAACTTGTGGCCTAAAACAAATCATCTTGTGCGACTAAACACTAAAATTAAAGTTAAATTGTTACTAAATATAGAAAAGTGCCATTCTTTTGGTACTTCCCCTATGTTGGGAACATGTTGAGTTTGTTGTTGTTGTTGTCATTCTTTTGGTACTTCCCCTATGTTGGGAACATGTTGAGTTTGTTGTTGTTGTTGTCATTCTTTTGGTACTTACTGAAACATATTGGGTTTGTTGTTGTTGTTGTCATTCTTTTGGTACTTACTGAAAAGGAAAGAGTGTCACGTAAATTGCGAATGAGGGAGTAGTATTGATGATAATCTTTAATAAATGGTAAATACGTTGTTATAACGGGTAAAATGACACTGATTTTGTAACTTTCCATGCCATATAACTTAATTACTTTTGTATTTTATGTTAGCATTTAAGTTCTATGCACTGAATAAACTATATTTTTATAATCAAGTCATCTATTAAGTAATTAAAGGTAAATCTCTAGATAAATATTAATTGGTAACCAAGTAAAAATGATAAGTAACTTACTGTGATCAGGTTAAGATTTACTCATCGTGTTAAATTTTTTTTTAACAGTGTCAATGCATATATAACTTAAGTCCATTGGATTGGACTTTAAGTTCTATGCAGTGACAGTGCAGAACATACTTACACCAATCAGGTTAAGTTATTAATTGGTATTCTGGTAAAATGATAACTTACTTACTGTGACAGGTTGAGATTTACTGATAGTGCAAAAGAATCTTTCACTATCAGTTCATATCACTTGATATGAAAGATTCCATGAGAACGGCTACAAATTTAGCATACAAGTACTTTTCTTTCTTGGAGCTGCAACTGACATGCATTTTCTTTTGTATTGCCGGATTTATACAATAGTAAACTTGATATGAAAGATTCATGTGAAAAAGTAATCTGATCTTGTTTTCTTTTTTTATCATCTAAAATCCAAATGAACATGTTTACTATCTGATATTTTTGACTTAATAAATATTTGATTTGATCTGACACCAGATACGATTAAGCTTATGCTGGTTATTTTGTTGAACTGTTTTCGCTTGATGGACCACATTTCTAGATTGATGATGTTGAACAATTAATGGAGATAATAAAACAAGCAGCCAAGGAGGGGGCGATGGTCGTCTATACTTTAGCTGATCCTTCTATGTCTGAATCCGCCAGACAAGCA